GGGGGGGGGGGGAACAAACCCAGGGTGGGAGTGGGGAGTCAGGGATGGATGACCTTGACACCCCCCTTCAACCCCAGGAACCCCCCCCAACCCACACCCCACGCTCCCCTTGTCCCCACTAACGTTTTGTGCAGAGGATTTTGGGGCGGTCCCACTTGCCGGTGCTGTGGCACTTGATGGTGGGGACGTGGCGCTGGGTGAAGCCCTCCTGGCACTGGTAGCGCACGCTGGAGTGGATGCTGTACTTCTCCTTCTTCTTCCCCACCAGGAAGGCGTTGGCCACCTCCGGGGGGGGCCCACAGAGCACTGGGAGAGAGTGGGGGACACACACACACACAAACCCCCATCACCCCCACCCTGTCACCGGGATAGGGTGAGGGGACACCCCGCAAATGCCACCAGTTGTCCCCAGAGCCATGGCTTTAGGAGGGGTGATCCTCCATGGGGTTGGCAGCGAGGTGTTCCCCAGGATTAACTTCCTTAATTAATGGCCTTAGCGGGGGTGAGCGCATCGTTAAGATGCAGGCGGTGGGAGAGGGTGGCACGTTCCCCCTTCCCCCTTTCCCAAGGAGCAGCTGGAGGTTAATATAACTTTCAAGATAAGGAACGAGAACTTAATAGTTTTAATGGTGGCAAATGAAAACAAATTAGAAGTGGAGAGGGAAGAATCGACTGCGGGGGAAAAAAAAAAAAGGGAAAAAATTGAGTTTAGGGGGAACTGCTTGAGTTTTCCTGAATGAGGGGCTGGGAGAGGATGAGGAGGTGCCTGGGGGATGTGGGATGGGGATGGGGGACAGGGATGGGGATGCTGGGGGCTGTGGGATGAGGATGAGGGACAGGGATGGGGATGCAGGACAGGGATGGGGATGCTGGGGGTTGCAGGACAGGGATGCAGATGAGGATGGGGATGCTGGGGGCTGTGGAATGAGGATGCAGGACAGGGATGGGGATACTGGGGGCTGTGGGATGAGGATGTAGGAGAGGGATGGGGATGTGGGGGCTGTGGGATGGGGATGTGGGATGAGGATGGGGATTCTGGGGACTCCAGGAACAGGGATGCCGGGGTGGGGATGCCGGGGCAGGCGGTACCTGTGCCTTTCTTGCAGATGTAGGGCAGGTTGTAGTTGCAGGGCACGTCGTTCCACTTGCCGATCTCGTGGGACACCAGCACCACACAGTCCTCGCCGCCCGCAAAGAAGTTGTCGGGTTGGTTCTCCCGCCAGTTCTCGTATTGCTGGTGGGACAGGAGAGAGGGTGAGAGCCCCTGCGCCCCCCCACCGTGCCCCCAGCACCCTGAGCCCCCCACCCTGCACCTCCCAGGGGCTCACCAAGCCGGTGTTGTCCGTCCACTGGAAGTCCTGCTCCACGATCCTGTCATTGAGCCCGATCCAGGTGTTCTCGTGCCCGAAGCCTACGGAGAGAGGCACCCACGGCTCGCACGGCGAAGGTGAAGAGCACCCAGGGGTTGCTGGTGCTCAGAGAGGTGGGGGACGGGGTGTTTTAACCCCCCCACACCCCGCACCGTTGATGAAGCTGTGCTCCTCCTGCGAGTGGATGCTGGTGAGGTGGCCGGCGCGGCGGCGGCAATCCCGCTCCGCGTCCTCCCAGGAACGCCGACGGGCAAAGTACCGGTAACAGTGACCCTGGAACTTGTGCCAGTTGTGGTCACAGCCCTCCGTGTCTGCGGGGAGATGGGGACAGAGTGGGGACAGCGAAGGGGACCTGCCCCCCCATCACCCAGCCCCCCCAGCACCCAGCCCCTCCACCACCCCAGGGAGCAGCTCCCCATCGCGTGGGGGGGGGGAGGATTCCTGCATCCCCTTCCCAGATCCCAAAGGGACAGGGGCTGGGCAGCGTCCCCATGGGGGTCTGGCTGACCCCATGGTGACACATCCCAGGAGGGGGACATGGGGGGCTGCGCTCCCCACCTTTCTCGCAGCGGCTGCCGCCGTAGCTGGGCAGGCAGAGGCAGACGAAGGAGTTGACCTCGTCGATGCAGGTGCCTCCGTTCTGGCAGGGGCTGGACAGGCAGTCGTCGATGTCTGCGGGGGACACAGAGAGCTGGGGGGTGCGTAGAGACCCCCCCCGATACCACCCACCCGGCCCACCATCCCCTCCACCAGCGATGGGGAGGATGGGGGGACATCGAGCGGGACTTAGAGACGCAGCCCCGTTTCCCCTCCTGGTTCCAAGCTGGGATGGAGTGGGGGGGACACATGAAAGGAGGGTCAGATCCTGCCCCCCCGGCAGGGTGGGATGCTCCGGCCCCTCACCGATCTCGCAGTTCTCCCCGGTGAAGCCCGGGGCGCAGCTGCAGCCGCAGACGGTGCCGTTGGCGCGGCAGGTCCCCCCGTGCAGGCAGGGGTTGTTCTGGCAGGGGTCGGAGGCAGCTGGGGGGGGCAAAGGGGCGCCCTGAGCTGAGGTTATGGGGTGGGGGGGACACGACACACCACAACACCCACCCCCTTCCCCACCGGGACCCAGGACCTAGACTTGCCCCGGCACCGCGGTGCCGTTCCCGCCTGGCTGTGGCTCTACTCTTTAATACTCTTTAAATATATTTGTTTGTGTGTCCGCGCGTCCCCCACCAGCAGCCGCCTCTCCAGCTATTATTAGTAGCAACTGCAAATATTCAACATTTAAGAGGATGCTTTCCTGGCTCACGTCGATCCCTCGGCTCGCTTTGAAAAATCCCAGGACCTGCTCCCAACCCACGGCGGGAGCCAGAAACTCCCCGGCGAGTAAATTAGGTTGGGTGAAAGGACACTCCCCCCCCCAAACCTCCACCATAACCCCATGGGTCGGTTTTCTTGCCACCCAGCCCCATTTTCCCTGTGCCCACCAGCTCTAGGTGCCCCCAGCACCGCGCTCACCGTGCTGGCTGGTGTTGTCGGTGCCCCCCCAGGAGAGCAGCTCCCGCTCCTCCAGCCCCGGCTCCTCGCCGCTCCCGCTGTCGGCATCCAGCAGTGGGGACCCCCCCGGGCCCCCCAACAAAGCCGTCATGGAGGGCTCAAAGAGCAGCCCCGTGCTCGGGGACTCGGGAGCCTCGGGCACCCATGGGTGGGGGGCAGTAGGTGATGGCCAGGGGCTGTGGGTGGCCGAGCCGGGGGGTGCTGGGGGCTCTTCTCTCTTTGCCTCCCCAGAAGCATCCTCCTCTCCGGGTGCCGTTGGTGCATCCTCATGGCTGGGGGCACCCGGGGGGCTGGGGGGCTGCCCAGGGGCTGGGGGGGACAGGAGGAGCTGCTCTGCTCCCCCCAGCTCCGGTGCAAGGTGGCGGGTGGGCTGTGGGGCCATGGAAGCAAAGCCCGTGGACCCCTCCTCGGGGGCTGGCTCCAGCCCATCCGTCTCCACCGGCCGCTGGGTGCTGGCCCAGGGGGTCACCTCGCTGGCCACGGGGGGAGGTGAAGGCGAGGAGACATCCCGTCCTGGGGGGGACATGGCTGCTTCGCTGCTCGGCTTGGCCGAGCCCTTCCCGACGTCCCCGTAGCCCGTCGGCTGCTGGTGGCTGGGCTCAGACGGCAGCTCGGCTGGCTCGTGGGGAGCCGTGGGGCTGAGCCCCCCACGGAGCTGGGGAGCAGCCGCCTCGGTGGGGCTGGGGGTGGTGGGGTGCCCCGTGGAGGGGCCGTCCGGGTGAAAGAAGGTCAGCGCTTTCCTCTGCCTCTCCAGCGAGCCATCCCCTGGGACCCCGCTGCCGTCACCGCCGTCACCGCGGGGCTGCGGGGCCATCTCGGGACCCTCGGCCACCAGTGGGGCGGGGGGCAGCGGGGGCCGTGGTGGGACGGAGCCACCATCCTCCTGGGAGACAGCATCCCCGGAGAAGTCCTCGGTGGCATCCGGGGGTGGCCGGGGAGAGTCCCCGCGGGCGCTGGGGATGTGGGGCTGAGCCCCCACTGCGGTGATGTCCTGGTGGCCAAGAGGATCGTGGGGAGCCGTGGAGGCAGGAAGGGATGGGGATGGAGGAGGGGGGGTCTGTGGGGGTCCCCCGGGGTCGCGGGGGGCCATGCGGGGGCTCCACCGTGGCAAATCTCTCCGGGCAGGCGCCTGTGGCGAGGGGGACACCGGGGCGGTGGCCGGTGCCATCGGCTCTGCAAGAGATGGCACAGCCATGGGGTCCCCGAGCTGGTCCAGCCCCCACCAGGAACCCCCCCATCCGCTTTCGGGCATCACTTACCGGGGCCGATCTCCTCCTCCACCGCGTTGGAGGGTGAGTAGGTGCCCTCCCGCCAGAGGCTCTCGGAGCCGGAGATGTTCCACATCTCCACCGCGTTGGCTGCAACCCCCTTCACCTCCAGGGCCAGGATGGGGGCCTGGGTGACCATCCCCACCGGGTCCCCAGCCACCGTGGGGTCGCCAGCCACTGGGGGGTCTCCAGTTGCCACCGTGGGGTCCCCAGTTGCCACCGTGGGGTCCCCAGCAGCCACCGTGGGGTCCTGGCTTTGCTGCTGCAGCTGGAAGTAGCGCCCGTTCAGCCCGGGGTAGCTGCTCCTCCTGGTCGGGGGGGTGCTGGGGGTCTCTGCTGTCGTGCTGGGGACTGTCCCCAGCCCTGATGGCGAGGAGGTGACATGTTCCTGGGCTGGCCTTTGGGACTGTGGCAGGAGGGTGGCCTCGGGGGACTCCTCGGGGCCACGGGCTTCTTGCTCCGGCGGTGCTGGGCTGGTGCTGGATGGATCCTGCCAAGAGCTCCCCGGCGCCTGGTCCACCACGTTGAGAGCTTCCTCCTCGTGAGGCCACGCCGGCGAGGAGGCGGTGGTGGGAGGCAGGGATGTGCCATCACCTCCCAGCCCCAGGCCACCAGCTGCCGTGGTGGCCCCGGGGAGGTCACCACGCTGTGCCACCGGGCTGCTGCTCGCCAGCCTCAACTGCTCGTCCTGGTCCTCACCCAGCCCCGCGGGTCCCGGCTGGGGCAGGAGGCCATAGTGGTCACGGGGGGTGTCCCGGGCGTCCCCCGACGTGCCCAGGTCCTCGCCGTGTTCCACCAGCACGTTGTCACTGCCCGGTGGGTCAGGCGTGGGTGGCACCAGCTCCTCCAGCTCCCTCTGCTCCGTGGCCACGTGCGCTGTGGTGAAACCACCAGCATCAGCCGTGACGGTGACAAGGGGCACAACGGGGATGTGGGGCAGGACGGGGATCCAGGGAGCAAGTAGGGACCCACATCACCCCCCCCGACAAGGGTTTGGTACCAGGCACCTCACCCCCCAGCCTCACACCACGCCACGGTGACACACGGCACCTCCCAGCCCAGCTCTCCTCATTTATCTCATTTATTCCCCGATTAAATATTCATCGGGAGGGATTTTCCCAGCCGTGCCCGCCGATTCCCAAGGGAAGAAGGGCCAGGACTGGGCGAGAGGAGGTTGGGGGACAGGGGAGGGGACACTGTGCCAGTGTGGGGGCCGGTCCCCCCTTACCTTTATAGCAGTAGGCATCAAATTTGGAGGTGGCTGGGGGGAAGCCCGTGCGGTTGGGGAACTGGTAGAGGGTCCTGACGCCCGAGGCTTCGCCGCCGCATTTCCTCCGAGGGAGCCGGATGGGGTAGCGGACGCTGCCGTCGGCCAGCCAGCCCGGGTCACACTGGTCCAAGCCCTGGTGCCAAGCCAGGTAGAGCTGCCCCGTGGTGGCTAACGAAGCCCCCCGGCTCCGGCAGTGCCCCCGGGCCCCCTGCCAGGTGAAGCGCCCCGGCACCGTGGCGTAAAACACCGTCCCTGCAAGAGAGCACAGCCCGTTGGTGTTGGTGGTGTTGGGGGATGTGGGGATGGAAAGCCACCAGGGCTCGGAGCTCAGCCCAGGTGTGGTTTTTTTGGAAGCCTCCGTGACTCCGGCACGACAGCGATGCCACAATGTTGGGCACCAAGGGTGACACCCAGCACCCATCAGCACCCATGGGCACCCAGCACCCATCCCGCAGTCAAACCATGGCAGGTGGGAAGTCCATGGAGATAGAATCATAGAATCATGTCTGGGTTGGAAGGGACCTTAAAGATCATCTAGTCCAACCATCAACCATGCCCAAGCTCCCGGCCACGGATTTGTCTAATTGCCAAGTGGCTGATTATGAGCCAGCCATGTGTCCAGGTGGCCAAGAAAGCCAACAGGATCCTGGATGAGGAATAGTGTGACCAGCAGGAGTCGGGAGGTGACCCAGCACTGAGGAGGCTACACCTGGAGTGTTGTGTCCAGTTTGGAGCACCTCAACCGAAGAGAGATCTGGAGCAGGTGCAGAGGAGGACAACGAAGCTGGGGAAGAATAAATCTTATGAAGAACGATTGAAGGAGCTGGGACGGTTCAGTTTGAGGAAGAGGTGGGTGAGGGGAGACCTCATCACTCTCTACAACTACTTGAAAGGACACTGTAGAGAGGTTGGGGCTGGTCTCTTCTCCCAAGGAGTTAGGGATAGAACGAGAGGGAATGGCTTCCCTCAGGGTGGGTTTAGAGTGGACATTAGGAAGAAGTTCTTCATGGAAAGGGTGGTCAGAGACTGGAAGGGGAGAACTGGAAGGTCAGAAACTGCCCAGGGAGGGGGTGGAGTCACCATCCTTGGATGAGTTTAGATGTGGGGTTGGGGGATGTGGTGGAGAACTTCGTAGAGTGGGGTTGATGGTTGGACTTGATGACCCCAAGGGTCTTTTCCAACCTGAACCATCCTATGATTCTTTGATTCTATGATGTCCCCAGCACCCACTCGCCCACCCGGTGCCCACCGAGCCACCACTTCATGGTACCCGTGACACCCCCATAACTCTCCCGGCAATGCCACCCCACCATGGTACCTGTGACACCCCCACAGCTCTCCTGGCAAGGCCACCCCACCATGGCACCCATGACACTCCCACAGCTCCCCCAGCAATGCCACCCCACCACAGGAC